AATGTACCAAATCAGAGAACAATGAGGGCAGAGAACAAGAGTCGGCAATGATGGCCCTGAAATCGCTCACCTGTATATAGGCCCCTGGGGCGGGGCCGATTTTAACCCAAGGCCTTTAATTTGAACAATTTTGGTAGACACCAATTAGAAGATGTTTCATGCCTAAAATCTAAGCCCTAGCTATTTTGAATTTGAATTTTTTAAAGGAAGATGTTTTAAGTTTTTACTATATACATAAAGTGAAAAACAATGACCCCCTGGGCGGGCCAATTTTGACCGTAGGGCTTTTATTTGAACAAACTTGGTAGTAACCCACAAGAAGATGTTTCATGCTTAATATTTGAGCTCTAGCTCTTTCGGTTTTTTAAAAGAAGATTTTTTAAGTGTTTCTTTCGGTTGCCATGGCAAGCAGTTCTGCATCGAATTAAATTCGTTGAACAATTTTTAAAGTTCACTGCCAAAGGAACATTCCTGTGAAGTTTGGATGAAATTGGTTTAGCCGTTTATGAGGAGATGTCGTCTAAAGTAAAAGTTTACGGACGGACGGACGGACGCCGGACGAAAAGCGATCACAAAAGGTCACCATGTCACTTTGCGACTGGTGAGCAAATATGTTTTCCTTATACATTTGTAGTATATAAATCTATGTAACACTATGTAAAGTGTTATTCCATTTAAGTCTATGTAAACGAAGTGACGGCCAGGGCGGGGCCAATCTTGATGACTAGGTTATTCATATAACCTTTGTAGAGGACTTTATGCAAACTATTTATATTAAGCACTGGGAATTGTGGTTTTTGTGAAATTTTGGCTATTATGAACTGCTTGTGCAAAAGACTGAAACCACTGATATGACGTTTTTTGTAGAGGATTCAATCCTGTGCAGTTCGGTCAAAATCCATCATGTGGTTCAGAAGATTTTGATGAAATTACGGATAACACGAACAACATACGATAACAAACGCTCACCTTTGTGTTCATGTGAACTAATTAATGAAAACATTAATGGTAATCGTCGATTACCATTAATGTTTTCAATAATTAGATTCGTCATCCACTTTTCCTATATTAAAAATGCATAAGAGTCGGTTTCATTGAGCAGTGTTTAGGCGTTAGTGAATGGATCAAAGCCAGAGAACGTAATATTACAAAGACATGAGACATTGCACGAGTGAATAGGTCTTGACGAGTGACAAGAGTAGCCTGTGTGAGCAGCAACTTATAACGTGCATCAGAGAACGCCATATTATGTCCTTCTTAAATTTTGAATAAGAAGAAGTGACTCAGATATGTTCAGCCAAATGGTCTTAGAATTCAGAATCACAATTTTCAAACAAATGTGAGCTCACCAAAATTCTGAGGTATCATGTGACAGAGAACTCTCTGTCATATGCGTTATGGTGACTGTTGAAACCATCGTATATATTGCAAACAGCACGAAAAGTTTCTCACAATTTGTTCACTATTTCATTTACAGTAGCCATGTCGAGAACGGTTCGAGATGGATTTAAGACATGCTCAACAACTTAAAGTGAATTGGTCTATAGTGGAATACAATTTATAATTATGTTGATAGTATTTCGTATCAGACACAACATCAAACCAGTAAATACAAAGTTATTGAGCCGCGTCAAGACAAAACCAACATAATGCGTTTGCGACCAGCATGGATCCAGACCAGCCTGCGCATCCGCGCAGTCTGATCAGGATCCATGATGTTTGCTATCAGTTTCTCTACTTGTAATAGGGTTGGTAAGCGAACATCATGGATCATGATCAGACTGCGCGGATGCGCAGGATGGTCTGGATCCATGCTGGTCGCAAACGCACTATGTTGGTTTTGTCGTGATGCGGCTCAATTATATTTTCATGTTGTTGGCAAGTGCGAGATACACGATCCAATTTTAAATATATGTATATAGCAAATAATGAAATGTTCTAGAACCATCATATAAATATTCATACTAAATCGCAACGTTATCAACATTTTTTCAAGCATTATAAAATAACACTATACAAATGATAAATTTCTTTTGTTTTTATCAATATTTGAAATACAAATGTACTTTTGGAAAAAAAAGTGTCCATTGCAGATCAATCCACTAAAAGGATTTTGACATGATTCATGCAAAAATAACAATGCAATATTTTTTGTATAATTTTGCAGCTGAAAACGGCCTTATAATGACTTCTTTCCTGAATAACAACGCTGGGCAAAGTTTATTGAAAACAACTCAAGGCCGTGAGATTTTCAGTTATTTTTCTTTATTGTGCAATACACTTTCTGTTTCTTTACTTGGTAATCATTGTTGTTTATTATCAAAGTATAAAAAAATTCGAGTGGTAAACAATATAGTCTGGTCGCTCTAGAGTACACAAATGCACTATAGGAAACTGAATAACTTATTATAGCTACAAGGTTTCAAAATTCAATATGCACGTACTAGGGACAGTCAAATTATAATTCTGACAGCTTTATAATTCCCATCTGCGGTAAGAATATATGGAATGGACTTTTATATGTAATGGGCTTTTACGTACACCGGACAATTAGTCATGCCCATTTGTTAATTATGAAGCACAAGGTGGTGATAATTTACCTCGGTGTATTAGTCAAAGTTATAAATTTTGAGCCAAAAGTTAGCTGCGCCAATAAGAACCTAATTGTACAGTAAAATATGAAAAGGAGGTAGCACTTAAAAGGGTTGTTGGTGCCAAACAGAGGGCGTGCTTTTCAAGACGTCTCTTATTAGGGGTATTTCAGACAAGTTTTGTGACCGACAGACATACAAATGGACAGACAGGTGACAAAGAAGTAATCCTTGTAAGTCTGGGCTGATTTGTAGCATTTATTGCCTACTGTGTAACAGGCAACACAAAAAATATTAATAGGCCAAAACGCTACGGGCTACAAGTCGGCAACAAACATTCAACCAGAAAACCTGTTTAATATGCACAAAAATTAAGCTACAGATCAATCATGTAGAGTATCATTAAATTGCTGGTATAAGAGAAGTATTCCAGACACCAGACAAACTAATAAATTGAAAATCCTTAAAGGGCCATAACTATAACAAACTAGAAAAGTGTCCATAGGACAAGGGTGCCCCCATCACGCCACTGTTCTGTCAATCTTATGACTCTAGGTCAAATATTTGTTGAAAACTAAAAATCTTTTACTAAGTAAAGGGCAAGAACTTTACAAATACTGAATAAATCCACAAGCAAACCGCAAGGTGCATAAGTACACATGCTGACCAACATTCTTGTACAAGTAAAATACTTTTTGATTGAAAATTGCAAATTTATACTATTGTAAGTCAAAGGCAATAACTCTAACAAAACTGAAAAAATCCACGTGCAAAGTCCCAGGTGCATAGCTTCACAGTGATGTGAATAATTTTTCCTGTAATTTAGTGATGTTGATCATTATTCCTGTAACGTTGATTGATTCTAACTCAAGCACTCAAGGAACAAATAACACAACATTATTAAAATGGTTTTTACTAAGTCAAGGGAAATAACTCTTCAAATACTGGATAAATCCACAAGCAAATCCCTAGGTGCACAACTACATATGCTGAGCAACCTTCCGGTAAGGTTTAATGACTCTATGTCAAATCCTTTTTGAGTTACATGCGACACAAGTTGAAAATTGCAAAAGTTTTCTAAGTCAAGGGCAATAACTCTAAAAATTCTAAATAAATCCACACAAAAATACCCAGGTGCACAACTATACATGCTGATCAACATTCCTGTTAAGTTTCATGACTCTAGGTTAAATACTTTTTGAGTCACATGCGACACAAGTTGAAAATTGCAAATTTTTACTAAGTCAAGGGCAATAACTCTAAAAATACTGAATAAATCCACACCAAAATACCCAGGTGCACAACTGCACATGCTGATCAACATTCCTGTCAAGTTTTATGACTCTAGGTCAAATACTTTTTGAGTTACATGCGACACAAAAGAGAAAGGACGGACAGAAGGACGGACAAGGGTAAATCTAAATGCCCGCCACTAAAGTGGGGGCACAAAAATTGAAGAATGATTTGCACTACCAGACTTGGTACTAATCTTTCCTGTACAGTTTGGATGAAATTGCAACAGTACTTTTTAAGGAGTATTCCTGACAATTTTTTGTGACAGATAGACAACAAAGAAGTGATCTCTATAATTATATTGTGGCTACTTTGAAGCAGGCAACATAAAAATGTTAACATCGCACAACACCCTAAGCACTTTGTGATCTGGTAAGCTAAAAATCATATACAAAGAAAAATAAAGTACTTTTTTTAAGGAAACTTTTTATTCTTCTTTTTTAAATAACAGCTTTTAAACTGATACATCTGCAATATTGTTGTAACTTATTTATACAATATTTGCCTTTCTGAAACACAATTATTGAGATTTGTACAACAACTTGTATGAGAACAATCTAAGACTTCCTATTATACTGTATAAAATATATCATAGGCATAAGAATGTAAATGTAATGTTTCAAGTACATATACATGTAATCAGTTCATGTTTTTGGTCTTTTTGTTTATATTAACCTTTTCACATTTTATTTTTACAGAGTTGTCTATTATCTCCCCTGGATTATAAATTTAAATGATTAGTCAAGCATTTGGTTTCCCCTATTTTTGAATCAATTATTGTAATCATGTGACATAGGGGCTACTCTTGCACAAGTCTTGTTACTGTGCACTGAGTAGAACGTGTACTTTGCTAAACAATTCTAATTTCTAGCAATTTTCAATATAAAATAAATTTTTTAAACCATGATTTTTAACCAATAATTTACAAAATATAAACATTTTAAGGACTGTTAGCAGAATGTATGTATTCAATGTGAAAGATGTCAGACTCAGACTGATAAATATTTACAAATGTTCGATGAATAAAAGATACAAAAATGTATCAAAAAATGAATGCACTACGTAGTGGTGATGGTACAATGATCATTTTGTGACTTGTAATAAGGACATGCGGAACTGGAGGTCGCTGTAACGTTTCTGTAATTCACGTTCTCTCTCCGTCTGTCGTACCACATCCTCTGTTAAAGACTGAAAAATACAAAATATCATTTAACAGACTGTAATCTAATTAAACTAAAACCTACTTGAATTATGGAGTAGATTTGTTGTGGTTTAAATTTTTTATCAATTTGATTCAAGGCATTTCCGTATAAACTGATAATTAGCAGCAGTAAAATAAAAAGGACTTTGTTTGAAAGTATGGATGTGGTCTAACTCTCTTCTAATTCAATGTGTCACTCTCATTTAATAAGTCTGCTTAAATTACCACTTTCACTTTAACAAAAATTCAAGGTCAAACATAGGCATACCTTCAAAAATATAGCTTTCAGAATTATGCCCCTTGTCTTACAACTGCACCTTGTCATTATAAGCAAGTATTCCAAGTTTCAGGTTGATTTACTTTTAAAATGTTTGAATAATGGGCTACATTAAATTTTTTGCACAATCTCAATACAACTTTAATGACAACAACACAGCAATTTTAGGTGACTATTTCTGTCAAAAAATGAAATCACAAATCATGACAATACACATCAAGGTACTCAATTAATATCAATCCGTGAGAATATATTGAAATCCCTCAAGAAATGTGCTTGAACACAGATAAAATTGTTTATGTGTAACAGCTCGCCTACATTCATCAATCTAACAACCAGAATTTTCCATTGAAATTCACAATGAAAAAATTCAATGTATTATGAAGTGATTTCATTAATTAACCCTTTCGCTGCCAGAGGGTTATTGTTTTATTGTTCACCTATTTGCCAGAGGATTTTCTAAGAAATTACTATATTATTAATTAATTTAATTATTATTATTTGTAATTAGTATTATAATAATTATATATGTTTCCAAATCTGTTAGTATAATAATAATTATTGTCGATAGTATAATTTTCATTATATTTATTATTATTTTTATTATTATTATTATTTATTTATTAGTATTATTATTATAGAAACGGCTAAAGCCGTCGACATGGCAGTGAAAGGGTTAACACTTGTATTGTACACACATATTTATAGTATTCTTAGCATTGTAACCATGGCAAAATTATTTACAGGTTACGACTACAAAAAAAATCCATATATATAGAAATACAAACCTCCATTCTTTTAGGTATGGCTCCCACTTCATGTTGGCGTAGATTTTCAAATGTTGTCAACTCAACATACGTGTGTTCAAGTTGCTCATGTAATTCACTAACTTGTTTATATAAACCTTGACTTCGAGACTGAAACAAGTAAGAAAACAATATGTTCCATTCCTATTTCCTTTTTCTAACAATAAATTAGCATATCTATTTGTAGGGGGTGGGTTTTAAGTCACAAAGCAAACACTTTACCTTTATAACATTTACAATTGGACAAGGACTCTAGGTGCCCTAATATACATTATTTCAGACACTGGAATGCCCCGGATCTGGGTAGTATAAATCCACAAACCCTCTATCAGCTATTACAGATATTATATACATGTATATTCTGCTATACAGACAATCTGACCATTGACTGGCTACACTTCATTGTAGTATTCACTGTATCCCATAATGCCAGACTGAATCATTCAATTGCTTCAAATTTCATTTTCAGTGTTTTGCCATATCTCCCTGTTGTTTTGTTTTTTCTTGTTTTATACAAATTACTGACAATTTTTTTACAAAATCAAACTTTTTCATTGTTGTTCTCATTATGAAAAATACTGACATTCTTTTTTAAGTCCATACACATTCCAGCTAGAAAAATTGTCATTGAAAGCAAGCATTTAATCACAAAGAAAAGAAGAAAAATAACTGTGATTGTTACACAGACATTTATCAAGTGAAAATATTGCTAATGTCATGAACCCGTTCAGTTGTGGAGAGCCTTATTGTCTTGGTGAAAATCAGTCATTTAACAAGGGAAACAACTGAATTAAAGGTAGTTTTCATGAGCCAAAATATCAAAATTATTATCTCCCCTGAAATTTATGATAAGGTAACCAAACCTGATAACCTCCCAATAAAATTTTCAATTTCTTTTCAAGTTTGGCAGCTTTTTTGGAATCTTTTGTCATGTAGGACCTGTTATTCTGAAAGTTAAAAAGTAATAAAATAAGTCTACAGGTTTATTTCTCATAGAAGTAATCAAAATTTAAAATATATTTAGATGGAAATTACCAACAGCATCTGTAACTTTTGTACACTTTCTCTACAGTGTCACATATCATAATTAGAAATCAGCATATTTAATGGTGCATTATGATGTCATAATGAATGAAACAAATCTCTTCCTTTTTTGTTCATTTTTGTAATAATATAATGTGTAATCTTTAAACTGGTGTCCTTATGAAATAAAAGATTTGGCATAAGTCACAACTTTAACTAATTTACATATATTTATCTTTAAAACTAACTGACCATCAATCTAATGAAGAATCTCTGGTTCTACCGTGATGCCTGCTTTAGCATTAACAAAGTACATTTAATGGATAGCATTTAAGCCCATTATGCCTCAGAAATGCTTTTATTTTTAATTCACAAATCTTTTTAATTTTTTGTGTGCCCTATTACAGTTACCAAAAAGTTACTAACTGGTCAATACTTACTTTTCCTTCTGTTGCTTTAAAGCAATAAGTAAAGTTATTTTGTTCAGTATTTTGTATGGCAGTCAAAATACTTCTTTGTTAACATGTTGTTACTTTTATGACAAATAATTTTATATCCAGCACTTTTCTTCATGTGATAAGCATGTAACATGCTTTTAACCCATTATTTAAACATATAGCTCATGTCTGCCCTTTCTAACTGACCTCAAGTAATGTAACTAAACTCAAGTCATGTAACTAACCTCAAGTCATGTAACTAATCTCACTAACCTCAAGTCATGAAACTGACCTCAAGTCATGTAACTGACCTCAAGTCATGTAACTGACCTCAAGTTATGTAACTAACCTCAAGTCATGTTACTGACCTCAAGTCATGTAACTAACCTCAAGTCATGTAACTAACCTCAAGTCTTGTAACTAACCTCAAGTCTTTTCTCGAGAGATTCTATCCTGTCTTTTTTACTGGCCAGGTTTGCCCTGGTATATCTGCCCTGTGATGGTAGATATAACACCTGGGAGTAACATTCGTCCCAGACCTGAGAGAACGCCTCTAATGACAGGTCACCATGTCCCATACCACGCTTTACAACCTCCATCTCCTGATGTAACAATTCTCTCGCCTGTATACAAATTACATCATACATTTTTATTATACCACTTGATTACATATATAACATATACAGATACAAAGAATGTATACAATCTATTTTATCTAAACAACTTAGTTACAGAACAATTGAAACTGAAAGAGGTTACAGTTACTATGTATCTTCTTTAACAAAGCTAATATTCAAACTTTCGTGAATATAGCTAAATATTTTATCCATTTGCAAATAATAAACAGATTAAATGACTTTGAATCACTGGTCCTAAACCTATAGTGATTTAAATATGAGGAGGTAATCAAGGTTGTAAACAACTCAGCTGTGCTCTCTATCCAGCTGCATATTTAAGATTAAAATGTATTTTCACAGGTGAAGCTGAAACAGCTGGCAATATGATTGTACATTGCATATCTGATTCTAAGGAAAAGATGTAAGATAATCACACAACAGGTCCCACCCCTTCTTTGGGAGGGGGAGTGGGTGGAATAAGGGTGGGTGAATGACCATTATTTGTCACCTGAGTGCAATAACTGTTTAACGCATATTAAAGTTAGAAAGACTTAACCTGTTATTGCACAAAGGTGATGATATATAAATCATCACATCATTAATTACCTGCTCGATCTCATCCTCTGTTACTTTTTTTAGAGGATGATCTTTAAGGAAAGCTATATGTGCTGCCTGGTTAGCTACACTCTTCTGGCTGGGCTGATTCTTCTTGGAGCCAGGTGTGATACCCAGCTGAAACTCTGTTGGATTGTATGCAGCATCATTATGTAGCATAATCAACATTTCACGCTTCACTAACTCCTCTGCCTGTTTAATAGAAGATATTGAATACGTGTAAGTTCAATACTTGATTTACTGAACAAGCTGAATAAAATTTTAAGATGTGAACCTCTGGCATATTGTTTTTATTTAACAATTTTAATCAATTAAGTAATAAACCTACTAAAAGTATAATATAATGTATTCTATTTATGATTTTATCACATGCCCAACATAAGAATAGTTTACAATAAAAATGCTTTGTTTTTAACCAACCCACATACAGCATTAACAACACAAATGACTATGTGATAACTATATTTAAGAAATAGTTCACATAATTGTTTGCTTTCTTAAAATATAGTGACCAATCAGTTAGCCTGCAAACATTTAGCTGACTAAATCTGAATGCCTAAGTTAGTCCAATGTTTCATGCTGACATTGAGGTCACTATAGGCCTTAGGATATGATTTAAGTATTAGGATATTACTTATGTATTAGGATATTATTTAAGTATTAGGATATTATTTAAGTATTAGGATATTACTTATGTATTAGGATATTATTTAAGTATTAGGATATTATTTAAGTATTAGGATATTACTTAAGTATTAAAATATTATTTAAGTATCAGAATATTATTCAAATATTAAAATATTATTTAAGTATTAGGATATTATTTAAGTATTAGGATATTATTTAAGTATTAGAATATTATTTAAAGGTCTACTGACACTTATATGAGTGAAGAAAGACCACATTAAATACTAGGTGAAATATCCATGACTAATAAAGTCAAGTCCGGAGAAGTGTGTTATGAAACATTTTTTTCAAAGCAAGTCAATAAAGAAGATACATATCTACAGGAAGTATGCCTGAAGTATGCCTATAGTGTTATAAACTACATGAAGATTGTCCATTACATATTATAAAAGCCAACGTTTTCAGGAAGACGTAATTTCCACTGTACAGTGACTAACTTTTGGCTCAAAATTCATATCTGCGTGGAAGTAAATTATCACCACTTTGTGCTTAAAAAAATTAACTCTTTCATGGCATGATGGTGACATGACCAGGGTCCGTACTTGACAGCGACAGCTGCATTCTGTGCCCTTACAGGCAGACGGGCCCTAATTAAACATAGACTACACACACAAGACTTTATTTTCAAGTAATAAATACAAATGTATACCTTCTGTAGATCAGTTAGGGCAGGGTCACCTGGACCAACATCTCTCAATATATTCTCATTGACATCATATGGTCGCGGCAGATCCCTCTGTACTGAATGTGACTGTAACTTTAATTCTTTCTCCACTGTAAATTAACCAACACATATTGTATAGAGCATATTCTATTTCAAATTTAGTAGTCCATATCAATTAAAAGTATTTAAATGAATGTTTTAAGAAAAATGATCAAAATTTTACACAAAAAAAAATTGTTTTTGTTCACTACTCTTATTTTAAAAGGTTTGTTTTTTTTTTCCGGACAAATCACCAAACTTCTTAACTATGGGACATTACAAACACTTATGTATTGTATAAAACAAAAAAATCTTACATTTAGTAAGTCTATTTCATTCATTACGTAGTCTATTTCACTTAAAGGTTTTAAAATGAATGTTTAAAAGAATGATCAAAATTTTACACTAAGAGCTTGTTTTTGTTCACTACTGTTATTGTTAAACTTTTTTATCTAACCAATTGCCAAGCTTCTAAACAGCATGATATTGTATAAATATAAAGTTTGTATGAACTTCTGGAATTAGTTCATGACTGTATGATTTAGCAGTTCTATACAAGCATTAAAATTAAGTCTTTTGTTCCTTGTTTACAATAGATCATTAAGTTATAAAGGGTCAGACTAGATTTATCTTACAAATTAAAATAAATTCCTTGAAGAAAATGAATTATGAATGGTCTTTCTTCCCAAGGGATTTACAAACAAGAGGGCCATGATGGCCCTGAGGTCGCTCACCTGTATATAGGCCCCCGGAGTGGGGCCAGTTTAAACCTCAGGGCTTTTATTTGAACAAACTTGGAAGACACCCATTAGAAGATGTTTCATGATGTTAAGTTTTTACTACACACATATAATGAAAAACAATTACCTCTGACCCCCCCCCCGGCAGGGCCAATTTTAACACAAGGGCTTTTATTTGCACAAACTTAGTAGACACCCATAAGAAGATGTTTCATGCTAAACATCTAACCTCTAGCTCATTGGGTTTTTTAAAAGAAGATTTTTAAGTTTTTACTATACACATATAAGGAAAATCAATGACCCCCGGGGCGGGGCCAATTTTGACCCCAGGGCTTTTATTTGAACAAATTTTGTAGACACTCACTAGAAGATGTTTCATGCTTAATATCTTAACTCTAGCTATTTAGGGTTTTTTTCAAAGAAGATTTTTTAAGTTTTTGCTATACACACATAAGGAAAATCAATGACCCCCGGGGCGGGGCCAATTTTGACCCCCGGGCTTTTATTTGAACAAACTTTGTAGACACTTATTAAAATATGTTTCATGCTAAATATCTTAGCTCTAGCTCTTTGGGTTCTTTAAAAGAAGACTTTTTAAGTTTTTACTATATGCATATAGGGTAAATCAATGATCCCCTGGGATGGCGCCAATTTTGACCCCAGGGCTTTTATATGAACAAACTTGGTAGACACTCATTAGAAGATGTTTCATGCTTAATATCTTAGCTCTAGCTCTTTGGGTTCTTTAAAAGAAGATTTTTTTAAGTTTTTACTATATGCATATAGGGAAAATCAATGACCCCCTGGGGCGGGTCAATTTTGACCCAAGGGCTATTATTTGAACAAACTTGGTAGACACTCACTAGAAGATTTTTCAGGCCAAATATCTAAGCTCTAAGCTCTTTCGGTTGCCATGGCAACCAGAGTTCTGCATGGAATTAAATTCTTTGAACAATTTTTAAAGGTGACCACCAAAGGAACATTCCTGTGAAGTTTGGATGAAATTGGCTTAGTGGTTTATGAGGAGATGTCATTTAAAGTAAAAGTTTACGGACGGACGGCGGACGGACGCCGGATGAAAAGCGATCACAAAAGCTCACCATGTCACTTTGTGACAGGTAAGCTAAAAACGCTAAAAAGAATCTTTATCTTATTAAAAAAAAATTAAGATTGATACACATAAGTCAATGATCAGTCAATATTGTAATATCTATAAACTAGGCGACTAGGATACAAACTTCGAGCTCTTCTGTCGGCCTCGGAGCGAGCATCAATTTCTGCCTGGTCTTCAATATACTGGTGCTGGTCCCCAATTTCATCCCCTTCCTCATTCATGTCTTCGGGAACCAGTATCTCAAAATCATTTTTTGGCTGTGGTAGTCCTGCTAAACCTCTCTTCAGTTGATCTCTAGGATCTTGCTGATAATTATACAAATTGGTTGGTCATTTTATATCAGTCTTCATTATACAAATAACTTTTACATAAATCTAACTTTTATTTGATTCAATTAAGTTTTTACTATTTAAACACATTATATGTTTATCTTTAAAGAGAGCTACATTCTAAAAAAATTTAAAAATTACAATTTCCCATTAGTTATCTTTCTTTTTTGTGTCAAATATCTAGGCCACGGATTCAATAACATAATTTCTCTAGCAAACAGCATCATGATCAAAAGACTCTTCAAGAACGTTTTGTTGATTTTTAAGTCACACTGACGCTATTAAAGCATGCTTTACTGGTGGTCGAAACCTTCTTTGTTGCAACTTTTAGTTTCATATCATAATTAAGCAAGCTGTCAAGTAGAGGTAACAACTTTACGTAAGATAGCCAGTTAGTTTCCTCACAGACCCACAACAATGAGGGGTAAGAGATTTAAGTCAGCTATAACAGCCACTAAATCATGAAGGCTCCTAGACCTACTAGGATGTAACTTACAGAATTAGCTTACTGTATACACATATATATAACATCTGTAATGCTGATAGTAACTGTCACTTCAAAATTAAATAAATGAAAGAACCTTTCCCCTTTTTCGTTGAGTTTTATGGCGCACCAATGCAGTATAGGTCACATGGCTTCTTTCCAGCTTTACTGTTCAAGGAAGACCTCGGGTGCCCCTCTGCAGATTATTTCAGGAACAAACAGGCATCTGAGTAGAACCACAGACATTCCGTTAGCTAGCTGGATAGCTTCCTCACATGAAAGAATCAAAAGGCCCTGTCGGGATTCGAACCCACAGCAGTGAGAGGAAAGTGGTTTGAAGTCAACAACCTTAACCACTCTGAGACAGACAGTCAGTCAGACACCCCATTAAAAAAGGTGAAGAACAGTAAAATTTTCCTATTATTTAAACAAAAGTTCAACTAAACATAAAATAAATCATCAACTGAATGAAAATCAAACCTGTTCAAAAGATCCTGATTCAAAGTCATCACCCTGATTTATGTTGAGTTTATCTCTCATAGGTGTTCTCAGAGGTGTAACACCTAGCTGTCCATTCTGTGTTATCATGGGTGTCAATCCGTGAGGGGTCATACCTGAAATATCAACAATATCATGAGGGGTCATGCCTAAAATATTAACAATACCATGAGGGGCCATGCCTGAAATATCAACAATACCATGAGGCCACATACTTGAAACTTAAATCTAACACTATGAGGGGTCATGCCTGAAATATCAACAATACCATGAGGGTTATACCTGAAATATCAACAATACCATGAGGGGTCATACCTGAAATATCAACAATACCATGAGGGGTCATGCCTGAAATATCAACAAACCATGAGGCCTCATACTTGAAACTTGAATCTAACACTATGAAGGGTCATGCCTGAAATATCAACAATACCATGAGGGGTCATACCTGAAATATCAACAATACCATGAGGGGTCATGCCTGAAATATCAACAATACCATGAGGCCACATACTTGAAACTTAAATCTAACACTATGAGGGGTCATGCCTGAAATATCAACAATACCATGAGGGGTTATACCTGAAATATCAACAATACCATGAGGGGTCATGCCTGAAATATCAACAATACCATGAGGGGTCATGCCTGAAATATCAACAAACCATGAGGCCTCATACTTGAAACTTAAATCTAACACTATGAGGGGTCATGCCTGAAATATCAACAATACCATAAGGGTCATACCTGAAATATCAACACATACCATGAGGGTCATGCCTGAAATATCAACAATACCATGAGGCCACATACTTGAAACTTAAATCTAACACTATGAGGGTCATGCTGAAATATCAACAATACCATGAGGGTTATACCTGAAATATCAACAATACCATGAGGGTCATACCTGAAATATCAACAATACCATGAGGGGTCATGCCTGAAATATCAACAAACCATGAGGCCTCATACTTGAAACTTAAATCTAACACTATGAGGGGTCATGCCTGAAATATTCAACAATACCATGAGGGTCATACCTGAAATATCAACAATACCATGAGGGGTCATGCCTGAATATATCAATCAAACCATGAGGCCACATACTTGAAACTTAAAATCTAACACTATGAGGGGTCATACCTGAAATATTAACAATACCATGAGGGGTCATACCTGAAATATCAACAAAACCATGAGGCCACATACTTGAAACTTAAATCTAACACTAGGGTCATGCCTGAAATATCAACAATACCATGAGGGGTCATACATGAAATATCAACAATACCATGAGGCCTCATACATGAAATATCAACAATACCATGAGGGGTCATGCCTGAAATATCAACAATACCATGAGAGCTTATACATGATACTTAAGTCTTACACTATGAGGGGTCATACCTGAAATATCAACAAACCAAAGTCTTGCACAATGAAGGGTCATACTTTGAACTTATGTCTTACACTATGTTGGATCATACTTGAAATATCTAAAATTAAAGTCTAACTTGAAGTTTTGATTAAGTCAAATGATTTTTTGTAGTGGACTTTTCCTACTTTTATAATTAGGAGTTGTTCAGTGTTAGTTTTAGAGATTTCAATATCACAGCCAACTGTATAGAGATTGGTCAGACTTCATGAATGTGTAAACTGGTTTAATATTATACAGATAGCCTAGGCAAATTAATATTGTTGTTAGCTTTAAATGTGACCATTTTGATAATATACAAGTGTAACATCAAGACTCTACCATGTTATTATATACACTCGATGCTGCATCACAGCAATACCTGAACACAATACAGTTTATTAACAGTATGTTAAGAGAGTAAAGATACAAAAAGTTACAATTATAAAGCAGTATGCCTTTTCCTTTTTAGGCAAATTTAAATGTTTATAATGGCATAACAAAATTTTTTTACAGAAATTACAGCTCTCCTGTTTAAGTAATAGATATACCATTGCTGTGTTGACGATTTCTGGGTTTGCGTAAATTATACCATAATCACGTGACCTTTCTTATGCCTTGACCTCAGGAGACGAAGTCGAGTGAGGTTGCATAAGAATGGTGTATCTGTTTTAACCTATAGCTCCGCCCAGAAACACTTACTCCTTTGATCTGCAAAACTGAAAATTATACCATAGTCTGGGTATGGTATAATTTACGGTTATTGGAAATTATACTTGGAAGAATTTTACATAAGAAGCGCTGAAGAGCTATAGGTTAACATCTGGATATTTTCCAAAACCTTTTGTCTTTATTATCATTAAGAATTCAAATGATATAAATTTTAGTGAGAGAATATTGGTTACACACTTACCACCATCTTCTGCAGGCCCTGGGGTTCGGAAAGGTGTACCTAGCACTGTATTAGGAGTCTGGATATTTCTAGCCTGAGGTGTGGCTCCACTAAAGTCTGAGTTATGTAGAGGAGTGTTCAGACCTCCCTTCAGAGGGGTGTCCACATTTGTTAAAGCCATGATGTTCTGAGCTTCCTAGATAAATCAATAGAAAGTTAGCATGTACTTAAGCAAGCATGATTATGATTTTCGGTCACAAATACTCAAGTTGACACATTTCCTAGAACAAACGCCATTCTCTAAGTTAATCAGATAACTTTTCCATAGAAAAGATTTGTAAGAATTCTAACAAACAACAATAATGGGAAATCAATTTGAAGTCAGTTACTTCATTAACTTGGTCTGGAAGGAAAACTTTAAAGCAATTTAACAACATATATTTTTTTGATTTCCTCATGGGAAAAGAAAAATAGTTCTTCTGCAAAGTATTAACCATTCCCAAAATATTCAAACCTATTCCTTCTTACAATAAGGAGCCTATCAAAATTTACACATACTAATAGAAGAAAATGTTCAGATTTCTTTATAGATATTAATTATGTATATACAGATACAAGAATCCCACAAGTGAAGTAGGTAAATTAGATCAATCTGAAGACTTTTCACTAATTTTATCATAGCGTAAATTTTTCAGTTAAAATTGTCACTGCATTATGAAACTTCTGCACTTCCATACACTTGCTAAATGACAAGTAATCAAATAAAACCTATTTCTTTCATATTACACAGCAAAGAAACTTTATAGTAGGTCATTTTATATGAAAGATAATTCTATATGACTGTAGAACCATATGGTACTCGTTACGGGAGTTAACAAAGTTTACAGAATGTTCCGAGCCAACCGGAACTAGTGTGTTAGGTCTGACAGTTGGGCGCCATATAAGTGTAGAAAATAACTAAGAAGAATTAGGCAATTCCTAGCTTGGCTACAATCCAGACGTGGAAGGCAAGTCGATTGTTTGTATTGTCAATCCCTTTATAATCAATCGCGACAGTTCTATATGACATTTTCACTGATTAAATGTATTATTTACCTGCATTAAAACATCAGAAGCGAGAGCTGGAGTTCTAGGTGTACGGAGCGCAGAGCTTCCTGGTGTAACAGAGTAATCCTGTAACAGACTCTGTGTGGCTCCATTCTGCATGCCGGATTCCTCGGCCTGGGCTCGAGCATTCTCACTGGCATATCCTACCTTTACCACCTGCAAATAATTTATTTTAAATTTTACAATATTCGCATAACTGGATCATTAAATTTTTATTTGAAACTGCTTTAATTGCATTTTGATTCACTTGGAATTTTCAAACTGGTTGAAAAGGAGGGAACTATGTAACTTTTTCAGCAAATTATTAACTCCATAAAACTATTTGCATTAAATTTTTAATCTGTATTTTTTTCCCATTTAGAATTGCTCACATGGTTTTTCTTCATATAGTTTTTAATTACCTAATAACAATTAAGTTGCTCTAATGACTTCTTTTAAAATTTTGTTCCATACATAGCTAAAGTTGAATATTTTCACATGTTCAAATGGAAACTAGAAATGTGTCCATAGGACACGGGTGCCCCCACCGCGCCACTGTTCTGTCAATCTTTTAACTAAGTCAAGGGAAATAACTCTACAAATACTTGATAAATCCACAAGCGAAACCCCAGGTGCAAATCTAAATATGTTGAGCAACCTGCCCATAAGGTTTAATGACTATGTCAAATCCTTTTTGAGAAACTTGCGACACAAGTTGAAAATTGCAAAATTTTACTAAGTCAAGGGCAATAACTCTGAAAATACTAAAAATATCCAGACGAAAATACCCAGGTGCACAACTACATATGCTGATCAATATTCCTGTAAAGTTTCATGACTCTAGGTCAAATACTTTTTGAGTTACGTGCGACACAAGTTGAAAATTGCAAAATTTTACTAAGTCAAGGGCAATAACTCTGAAAATACTAAAAATATCCACACGAAAATACCCAGGTGCACAACTACACATGCTAATCAATATTCCTGTAAAGTTTCATGACTCTAGGTCAAATACTTTTTGAGTTACGTGCGACACAAGTTGAAAATTGCAAAATTTTACTTAATCAAGGGCAATAACTCTGAAAATACTAAAAAAATCCAGATGAAAATACCCAGGTGCACAACTACACATGCTGATCAACATACCTGTAAAGTTTCATGACTCTAGGTCAAATACTTTTTGAGTTACGTGCGACACAAGTTGAAAATTGCAAAATTTTACTAAGTCAAGGGCAATAACTCTAAAATACTAAAAATATCCACACGAAAATACCCAGGTGCACAACTACACATGCTGATCAATATTCCTGTAAAGTTTCATGACTCTAGGTCAAATACTTTTTGAGTTACGTGCGACACAAGTTGAAAATTGCAAAATTTTACTAAGTCAAGGGCAATAACTCTGAAAATACTAAAAATATCCAGATGAAAATACCCAGGTGCACAACTACACATGCTGATCAACATTCCTGTAAAGTTTCATGACTCTAGGTCAAATACTTTTTGAGTTACGTGCGACACAAAAGTGAACGGACGGACGGACAGAAGGACGGACAGACGGACGGACAAGGGTAAATCTAAATGCCCGCCACTAACTTGGGGGCACAAAAACACATTTTCTTCTAAAAAAAGTTAAGTACAAGACGTATTTGTAATTGTCATAGATTACAAACCTCTTCTAACTCTGTTTCAGAGATCTGGGGTGATGGTAACACAAGTTTACTTCTTTTCTTTACCGGCTCTTGGAAACTGAAAGATAGTATCATTCATTTAAGTACAGTAACAAATACCAACCCCTCAAAATGTGGAAATAAAAGTTTCATTTTTTCCATATCAGCAAGTCCTGGAAAGATGGATATTCTTGTTTTGAAAAAGAATGGTGTAATTCCAATGTTCAACACAAAATTATCATAGTCAGATTGAAACATGAGCCACATTTTTTTTCATCCTAATTTTTATATTGCATCATAGACATAGAAACAAAACAGACTATTTTAGTAATTAACCCTTATCATGCTAAATATCTTAAATGAACTTGTCCATATTTCAATCTGGGTTCAACCATGCATAATTTTTATTAAAAATTTCAATATATAGCCTGAATAGCAAACATTAAAGACCAGCATGGATGTGCCGGCTTCTTTAAATCTGGACGTTCCATTCGTAGGTTAAATATCAAAGTATTAAATTAAGACAGAGTATGGTGAGACTGCACAGAAGATCAAGTTGCTTTGGCTTTGTACTGACAGCATAAGACTTAACATTATTGCCATGCTTATCTTGATCCGCACTGATCGCATAGGTAGAATTAGCTGTCACCAACAGTATAAAAGTTAGACACATTTCAAAATCTTACTTGCTCTGTCCAGCTATATGACCAGGTAAATCACTTTCTTTTCTCTTCTTTTGTTTGTCTTTATCTTTCCTTCTTTCTCTCTGTAAGAATCAATAGAAACAACTATAATATCATGTCAGACAAGCCTCGATAAATTTTTCTGACCATACAAATTTACTCTCCCTTCATAAAATGTACTTGCCCTACATTTTGACAGACAAAATTTGTTAAAATTAAAAACACAAGGCTCAAGTTTACAATTTACCGATCTGAATCGGTGTAATTAGCTTTATACAATTTCATTTTGTTTATAATATTTATCATTCTTTTAATACAGTGTAACTTCTGAAAACTGAACACCCATGGGACTTGTCAAAAAGTTCGGATTTCAGAGGTTTCCGGAAATCAGAGGGACAAGACTAAGCCACTAAATGTCACTAAATGTCAAGAAAAAGGCGGCAATTACTGTAATATCATAAATAATAGTCTTTTAATCAAGATAAAGATGTGAATGAAAAGAATACATTTATATTTAACACTTTATTTAATACTTTATAATGATGATAGTGATATAAAACATACATATACAACGGTTTTTTATTGTAAATAAACAAAGTTTATACGTTAGTTACATATTTTTAATCAATTAAAGTTTGCTCATTTTTATCTTACCTGCAAATGCCTTTGAATTTCTATCAGTTTGTATGCATTAACTTACATATTGTCCGATGCTAGTTAATTAATTATTACATCAAATGCAAGAAAATCCCTTACGACGTTTGATTCATACATTGTCCCAATTAAATGTCTTTAAGCCGCTAATAAACACTTCAAATTAACTGACCGCCGTAAATTACTTTGATTAACCACATCACTTCAAACATACCATTTCACAGTTTGTGATTTTAACGCGTGTCAAATTACACGATCACCGCTAATTAGTAAACAATTGATGGGAAGATAAATCGTCCTGCAGGATAAACATTCTCGATTTACAATGTATTTCGCACCTTTGGATATTTCCGGTTTTTGGAGGTAAAATTGCATTGATTTGACTCTAATTTTACGAAAATATCGTCCGGAATTCAGAATTTATAAGTTCCGGAATTCAGAAGTATTATATTAATAGAAAATAGAAGGGAAATAATCGGGACCGAAAAAAATGTTCGGTTTTTAGAAGTTTCCAGATTTCAGAAGTTTCGGAATTCGGAAGTTACACTGTATATGATCTTCGACATAGCCTGAATACTTATTTCATTCAAATTCAAACACACTTGGCTAAAATATCAACCATATGTTGACAGTATAACAATTATTATTGCAGTTTGATTCCAAATAACTCGTTTATAAATGTTTAGAGAAACATCACTTAGATCGGGAGAACTTTACTCACCCTGCCGGGCAAGTTTTATCAATTTTTTCTTGCCGGACCTGGATAGTGTTTCACTAACATACTTACGCAAATTCTGACTTACTCAATTTTTTTTCAATGTGCTAGAAAATAAATTCAAACATACTCACATGTTTTTTAAATCTTATATATTCAATCTTTCATTTGCTCAAAACTTAATTAACATAAAATATAAAAACAAATACTTGCTATGGACATAAAAAGATCAATGGAAATTTTTGCGTTAAGTTTAAGAATTTGCGTAAGTATGTTAGTGAAACGGTACACAGAACTTCAACTCACAAGTGTGAGCGGGCAAGTGGATATGTCGAGGCCTGCTAGCAGGTAAGAAATAACATCAGTGCAATGGCTTAAAATTATTTCTAGTACTTCTGGGATCAAGAAATATATTGATATCTAGTTTCCTGTAAATATTTTAAACATGTGGGGTAATTTTTCTCTTTCCAGTTTTGTGACACTTCTTTCTAAAAATATCAAACCAGCGTGTGTATAATAAGTTCAACAACCAACCTAGTGGTCAATTTATCATGTTAACTAGTTTTAAATGTTAGTGTTACCTCTTCCTTAGCATCTCTTCTCTCACCATCTAAATCTTGTTGTCGTAAACGTTTGAAGTTTGGGTCCAATGGATCATAGTTTTCCTCAGATGTGTCATGAAACCCTAGAACAGAACAGAATCTATACTTAGTATACATGTATATAAAATAATTACGTCTTTATACATGTATTCACATGCGCAATTACACATGATTTATTGTATAAAACAGAAGACTATTTATTGTATTATTTTTTATATTATAACATTCCTTTTACATGCCAAATGTAGAGTCTATTAACATAGACATCTGTTTGGTATGTCACTTCCTTTGTTATTTATCAAATGATGAAGCTTATTAAAGTGAAACATGTTTTGATAAATGGTGTTGGTTTTGATCTATTTAGCCTATATATTAATGAGGAATAAGGAATAATCCTCTAGCTTTGCTTTTTTAACAGTAACCCTTTACAAAACTCATTTTGCATACAAACCTTGTTACTAGCAGGTAACTGTTCTAAACCATAATCTTTCATCACAAAACTTTAATCAAAAACTCTTTTAGTACTTGTTATAGCCTAGATTTTTCTTTCGGTTGGGTTTTATGTCGCACCAACACGGTATATATCAAGGTCATATGGTAACTTTCCAGCTTAACTGGTGGAAGAAGTACTCAGATGCCCCTCCGTGCATTATTTCAAACCAAACGGCTGACGTTCCCTAATACAGCTGGATAGCATTCAGAAAGAATTCAAAGGCCCTGTCAGGATTCAAACCCAAAGCAGTGAGGGCAAGTGATTTGGAGTCAGCAACCTTAACCACCCAGCCATGTTACAGCCTTGATAAAAGTTCAGATTTTTATACAACATATATGTGACAAGAGAAGTTTCACTAACCTGGGGCAGGTTTCTTTTCAAAAGGAACTTCTGCATTGTAATCTACACCTCTCTTTCTTCTAGATTTCTTCTTGATTCTGAAAAAAATTTAAACACATGCGACTGATTAATAATTCTTCATATTAATGATGTCCAACATGTTCCTATAAATTCTTTAATATACAATATACATGATAAGCCTGTTTTTGTTAGTTTAGCCTGAAGAACTATTATGCCTGTTTGAATGCAATATCATAACATCAGAAATTCTTTTATGTTACTTACCTCAAAAAAGTATAATACAAAGAACATAAATGATTTAATTATCATAGTAAACTTGTATGCTTCATTTTTTACCTTGTTATATTTAAAAAATTCTCTGTTATGTGCATCAAAATTATTTCACTACATGCTGTTCAGAATAGTATCAGAAGTTTATCCAACTTGTTTTATTTTGTTAATGCACAATACCATGTACTTTAATATATTGTCACTTTAGTGCAATAACTGGTTGCACAATACCATGTACTTTAATATATTGTCACTTTAGTGCAATAACTGGTTAAGTTAAACCTGTTACTGCACTAAAGTGACATGTTCACAACGGAATATAAAGTGTTACAGTCATCCATACTTCAGAATAAACAATTTTGAACATTAAAATTATGTCTTTAATCCTTATTATGCTAAATATCTTTAATAATAATATTCTTGTCACAAAACTATTTCTAGGGTATACTTTAAAAATTTATATTGACTGAATAGCAAACAGTGTAGACCATGGTCTGCATTGGTCACATGGTTAAAATCAGTCCAGTCCAGGGCTTCAGGTAATGAAAGTTTGGGAGTCATTAATTCCTTTATTTTGGCTTTGTGACTTCCAAAATTTAATGCTTTTCCTTCTTTACTTACATAATGTGACTTCTAATGTCAGACATTTTGCAGTGTCTGACTTTCAAAATTTTGAAACCTTGGTTGAGGCCAACAAACTAAAGATTAAACTATAAAGAGAACATACTCTATTCCTGCAGCACGAAGTTCTCTACGTTTCTGTAACGCAGCTAATCGTCGGGCCTCCTCCAGCTGTTTCTCTCTAGCTTTCCTCTTAGCTTTCTTACCCTGCGTGTTAGCTAACCTCGCTCTAGCTTCAGATAACATCTCCAATTCTAAACAAATATATCACAACAATCTAAATCAGATCTAGTTAATATATATACAGGATATTGGATAACTGCAGGTTCAATACTTAATTTATTGAATAATTTGAAAAAATTATATTATGATAGCCTCTGGCGAGCATAATATTTTATTTAACCAGTTCAATAAATTTAGTAATAAAGCTACATGAAAATATTCTGTTTATCACATATCCATTACTTAATAAATTAATGGAGATACATGAATATAATATTCTATTTGTCACATATCCAGAATAAGAACTGTTTTCATTTAACCTTTTCATTGTCCCGCTTATAGTGTAATGCTAAAATTCAGTGAGTCTTTACCCTATGTTTGTATAACGTAAATGATGTCACATCAAAATATATGCACGACCGTGCAATACTGTTTTTATGGAGTCGTAAAAGCAGCATGGGTATGTGATAAAACAGAATTAACACTCTGAAGTTATTTAATCCTGAACCTGCTGTATTTCTGAAATGGACTTGCCAAGCTTCCTTTTATTGGTCCTGTCCATTATGATTATCAGTTGAGGAATTTATAGAGAAAATATGAAACTGGTAAGCACACAGTAGTCTGTTCAGAATGAATGGATGTGCTGGCTGGCCTGGCTCAACATTAGTGGCAGCTTATAATTAAAAACTTATATAAGCTTTCAGTTAAAATTTTCATATTTCATCATATTGTTGCCTATTATGAGACACTTATGTACCAGAAAGTTCTGATTAATTTTTTTCAGGGTGTTTCTATAAACAACTAGCATGTCCTTTAATTAAAAGAATGAAAATAATAATTTAATATTCACCATCTTCATCCATGTCAATAGGATCTGGTTTGGCTGGTTTAGTTTCTGCATTAGGGTCGATCTCTCCAGGTTTGAGCCTCCGCGGGTCATCTTCACTTTCATCACGATTCTGAGCTTTGTCTCTGCAATAAGTATCCCAATACATATCAAGGACTTGGTGTGAAAGGGTTGTAACTCCATAGATAAAGAAACTGTCAATATATATCCACTATATAACTTTTTTTATGAAAACAGGACTTTCAATACCTTCAAAACTGTCTTTGTGCTTTAATTGTTATCTATCTTCCTAGTACATCAGAAATTACCCTGAATTTGACAAGTTAATACTAATCAGTAATTACATTCTCAAAATGAAAACTTGACCCTGTATCTTTTTTTACATACATTAATTTACACGAAATGAATTGTTCAATATTGGCTGAAAAGTATTTCAATTAAATTATTGAATTTTCTATTGGTTACTTGCACTTTGCAAGTATGCAAGCTTCCCTTGCAATATTAAAACTACTGAAACAAACTCAAAACTTTGTAAACAAAATTAATAGCATAATATTTATATCATGGTATAGACTTTATTTAAAGAGGCAACACACAGTCTTCCCAATGAGCTTTAATCAATATGTACATAGAAACAGTTACAAAGAAAAGATTTTCATAAACAAAGAAAACTTAATATATACAACATTGAAAAGTAAAGTTAATGAAAAATGATTATTTAAAGTGAATTCTTAAAGGTCAATAAAAAGAACATACAGTAAATATTCATAATGTTCCAAACATTGTGCTGCTGTACGTCCTACAATTGGGGCTATAGTACGCCACTGTGTCGGCATAAGTTTGGCCAAATGTAATAACTTCTCTTCTTCTTCCCGGCTCCATTCGGTCTTCTTGATGCTGGGATCCAGCCATTCATACCTGCATATATCAATGTATATTTTGAGCATATACAGATCCAATATATATAATTTTTTTTTCTAGATAGCAGAACTGTTAGATTTGTTATTTTCTTTTCTTACAATGCCATAAATAATTATGTTACATATATGATGACAAACCAAGACAGAATTATAATTTTATTTTTGTTTATGGCTGTTGTTGGTAAGTAAGTGTTTGATACAACAACAATTTTTTTCAAGGAATATTTCATAAGAATATCCAAATGATAAATTTCTACTGTTGTTCAGACATGGGGCGATTACTTGACAATTGTAATTGATTAAATTATGATTATTTGTCAAAATGCTTGATTAAATTAAATTACTGATTACTCCATTTTGACATTGTAATTGATTAAATTACTGATTACTGACAGGAGTAATCAGATTACATTTATGATTACTGATTACATGTACATAAGGTATAATTGTGACAATCATTTATGTATTGGGTCAATCTGTCAGTGATCTTTTCATCACCTTATTAAAACACAGGTGTCATCAAATCTGACCGGGGTGACTGCATTCAATTCACCTACACTACCTAAGACAATTAGTAGGCATTGACACTGGTACTTTTTTAACCTTTATATGTATGTTTGTTCAGCAATTTTTTTAGCTTAACATGTATTGTAATCATACATGTAATCATTGTGATTACTGATTAATTGGTCATGGAATTGATTAAATTATGATTAAATTACAGGAAAAAAATTATGATTACTGATTACTGTGATTACTCAAAAAAATTTTATCGATTAAATTAAATTAAATTACCGATTACGATCACCCCATGTCTGCTGTTGTTATTATCAATATTTAAATTAATTATAAAACAAGAGCTGTCAGACTTACACAAAGGCGATGAATGCCCCTAATTTTCCTTTGCAATACCCACTCCTAGAACTAAAATAAATTCTGTATAAAGTAAAATAACACAATGTTTATTACCATCTAGCCTTGCACTGTTTGGCAGATTTTCTATGTAACAATGATGCAATTCTAGCCCACTGATTTTTGCCATATTTCATAACAGCTGCCTTCAGTATCTCATCCTGAAGTTAAAACACAATTTACAATATATTAAATTGTTTCTAATATAAAATACCAATACATGAATGATGGTCAATTTAAATCTAGTTCATTTCACTTCAACAACATAAGATTCAAAGAGGAAACTTAATCCACAAAAAGAATTGTCTATGAGAAAAGTCATCTCTTAAATGTCACAATCATATTTTGAATATTAAATAAATATAGCGATCATTGAATGAGGTCTTTTGGAATAGTCTGGAAGGAAACATCAAGGGTAAATAGGTATAGTGCTAGACATGCAAACCAGCAAAGGCAACCATGACTATAGCGTAGAACTTCAACTTCAAACCATGTCTATTTGGCATTTGTTGTAATTCTTGAAATGTGCAAGTTTCCGTCAATTGAAGTTTGGCAGTCATTTACTCCTATATTTTCGCTTGTAACTTCCAAAATCTAATACTTTTCCTTCTTTACCTTTATAATGCGGTATAATGTGACTTCCAATGTTTGAGATTTTGCAGTCTCTGACTCCTAAAATTTGAAACTTAAAGGAAGCCCTGAAAGGTGTCTTTTTAATTTTAGTAAAGGTCAGATGCGGGCGGAGTCTGAGGTATTTGGCTGATAGAAGGGCGTCAAGAATTTTATCCATTTATGCTAGATACCTGTAAACTGGTGTTTGTTGGTAGGTTATTTCGGCCTTGGTTATTTCATGTTATGTGTGGAATTTCACATTAATACGTGGAGAGCATGTGCGGGCCACAGCGAGGGCTGTAGCACTCTTAGATAACATGTATGATGTGAATAAATCAAATTGAAATCACATTAATATAAATAAAAAATATACATCCAATGAGTTGGAGAAAAATCCTTTGTTAATTTTGAAATCCTTTTGAGCTAAATATAGATAGCAGGATTTTCCAAACTCCGACACAGTGGTCCCCCTTTGCTTCGCTACACAGAAAGTAGCCAATCAAATCACTGTGAGGCATTCAGAGATTTCCGTTAATATTCAGAGCACTCCAATGATAGGTGGAACACCACCAATTTATTCATTTCTGTTTACAGTACAAAATACCTGCATTTACTTATTCATTTACTTATTCACGAAGTGCAAGAGAGATTTGGTTTACATGTACACTAAACATGTTATGCATGAATCATACGGGGAAGTCAAAGACCGGGCCCGCGAAGCGGGTCCGGGCTTTGGCTTGCCCAGCTATAGACTACATGTGTATATTTAAAAGAAAAGCAAATAAAAAAACAATTAAAAAATATATAGAATTCTATACCTATCAATGAAATTTTCAGTGTCAGTTCTAGTCGGGCGCCGCCATTTACAATGTAACTCAATGATAATAGGCGGGGTATTCTGATAACAGAAGTTGAGAACAAACAAATCTCAACTTTTCGGATAAATGATAATCGTCGAGTGTTCCGAGTGAAAACAGAAGCGGTGCATGTAATACCGAATGACACCTTTAAAACGGAAAGAATGAAAGGAATTTTTAACGACTTCTCCGTTCATAGGCTTTGCCTAATTTCATATTAAGAGCTTTCTGTGCCATAGGTAGCACCTAATTTCATATTATGGACATCACTTGACTTTAATCTTCCAAGCATTTATTTCCCAGTACCAAAAATTATGTCTGGGAGGTTACGAAGCTAGTTTGTTAAATTCGGTAAATAGCTTAAATTACGGGGGAAGTCAAAGTCCGGGCCCGCTTTTGCTTGCCCGGCTATAGACTACACGTGTATATTTAAAAGAAAATTAAATAAAAAAAGAATTAAAAAATATATTGAATTCTATACCTATCAATGAAATTTTCAGTGTCAGTTCTAGTTAGGCGCCGCCATTTACAATGTAAGTCAATGATAAAAGGCGATGTATTCCGATAACGGAACAAATCTCAACTTTTCGGATTAATGATAATCGTCGAGTGTTCCGAGTGAAAACGGAAGTGGGTACATATAATACCGAATGACACCTTTAAAACGGAAAAATGAAAGGATTTTTTACCGACTTCCCCATTCATAGGCTTTGCCTAAATTATTTCATATTAGCTAATGTTTATTGTAATATGTAAACCGACTTAAAATAAAGTTTCTTGTATCTTGTTATGACACTAGTATCGCCTTTGAAGTAGATAGCATTAACATAGATCTTACACAAGGATAGGAACATCACTCAGTCACTGAAACAATATTTCTTCAATTCAGAGCAAAACCAGTCAAAACTTAGAAGATTTATTTTCCTTATTTCATACATGAGTTCCCATGCCCCCAAATTCTTTTTAAATTCTTTGAATCCTACCTCAGTGTTTCTCCAAACACCACCCTTTATCATAATACGAGGCATGATTAAATGATTAAATGCAGTCAATGATGTTCAAAAACCAGTAGCTTTTCAGCTGTTTATGAATTAATGTCTCTTTTTATTATTTTTTTTCTAAAACGTTTGCTTTATAAAACGGTGAATCATTAAATTTCGACAGCATGAAATTTACAAAGTTAGTAAAACCCGGATATTGATTAAGACCGAAAAGAGTCTCTCCACGCGGGAAAGACATAAGAGCTTTTCTTCTATTCTTTTTATATTAAACAACGGGATTTTAGATAATAAAAAGAAACTCTCTGGCCGAATTTGTATCATATTTGAATATCTGTTTAAGGATAACGGACCCTATTTTATTTCATCTTAAATAAGTGCAGGCACCTTTTTTCACAGGCTCAAAAATTACACGTCTTTTCCAACAACTATATGACCAGTGTTCATGTTAAAGAAAAATAATAATACTTGAATCATCTTTAGATATATATAAACAATTTCAAAAAACATCAAACACTTTTACCTTCTGAAAAAATTTATAACATGGACAGAATTTTGCTTAGCCATAGTTTCTAACTCAAAATATCGATTCTGTACACTTTTTTTCAAAAAACACAATCATACTTTTACTTTGCATAACATGGCTTATTCCTTGAAAAAAAATTAGCATCATTAAAAGAGACATTAAAAAAATTTATATAAAAAAATTTTAGTTGCCTTGATAGGAACCTCTTGCATCATAAGCGAGCATGTTAATTACCACTAGATCACTGTCTTCGAGTATATATATTATATAAGGAAAAAGCCAGAAGCACTGAAATTAATTCTAAATTAACATTTTTTATTAGGGTTTGTAAGCCTTATAAGAGGATATTCACGCTTTAGTACCTGTAAATCCACATTATAAACTGGGGGCACATTAATATAAGCCAACTTCATTTTTTAAATTTTAACTAACATTTACAAATAAAATGAAATGGAACATGAACAGTCAAATCACGTCATGATTTTTGATTTATGAAAGTGTTAAAGGGAAAATGTTCGGTTCAGAGAAGTTCATGGTAATGGAAGTTGCAAATATCGACGTAACATAAGTTTTACAGAACAAGATAGAACAAATAGTTTCAGTGAATTTTGGTCTTTGTCAGATAATGAAATGTTTGTGTATAACTTATAAATTCTTTTAAAGATTTTTTAAAGATATTTTCTCACATCAAAAGGTTCCAAAGTTAGAGTTTGTTAAGAGTTCTATTTGAGCATATTATATATATCAGCTCAAAATGAATATCTTGTGTCACGAAAAACTGCAAGCAAATGATCACTTATATAGAAGATGGAATAGTGTTTGTCATCAGTTATGTGCAGTTATGCGACATTATATATATATTGCAGTTTTTTTTCAATTGGTTGTTTGAATCTAGAATGTAATATATTTGGACTTAGTTTTTCAGGAACGAGATCATCAAATTACTACGCAGTGTTTAAGGTTTAGATGTTAAGTTGAGTCTTTATTAAGCATTAGAGTCTAAACATATTTCCTAGGTCCAGAGGAAATTTGTAAAGGACAGTGTGTTTTGACTTGTTTCTACATAATCATTTTGGTGTTTTACTTATTTAACCTTTTGTAAACATAACAACTGTTAGAATTTCACTTGGCGGGTTCATTTTATTTACACTGTCTCGTTTTTAGGAACATGGCGGGGCTAAGAGTAAGGTTTGGTGCAACATTTACCGGTTTAAACTCCCCAGCAGTACATGCTGATGACCGTTCCAAGGCGACGCCCTCTGTGTTCCTCAGATGCATGTCTATGTTCTTTCATACTGTTTTGGTGACACTTTTGCATGTGTCCCTTGTTGTTTTCTCGTCTAGTCTACGGTAAGTATCTTCCCTTTTGCTCTTAGTCTTATTTCTTTAATTTACCCCCTCGTCCCCGCGTCTCCTGTCCCCTTTCCCTGTGCCCTTTGACTTTGTCGGCCTATTATGCATTCATTTATTTGTTTTCTTTGAATTCCTTATTAGTTACTAATTATTTATCATTTTAGTGATTAGCCTGCCCATGCACTGCCTTTTGCCCTGTCCTGTTTTTGTTTGGGTTGCTCCTGGGCTCCTTGCCACTGGTACTTGTTGCTGGGGGTCGAGTGGGGGCTGCGTTCATTGAACGCCGCCTTTCCTTGTTGATCTTGTTTATCATATTATTTGTTACAGTTAAATTTAATGTTTGTTACATTTTGACTAATTGTATAACTGTTAAACAATTCTTAGTTATACATGCCAATGGTCTTCCAACTAAAGTTTTGTAAATGTGTTGCATTTTAAATTGTTACAGGACTTTGCAATTGCATTTGTATGCGAATCTATCAAGCATATTTCCCAACATTTTGGGTCGTTTTTTAACAGAAATAGAATCAAGGACTAATATTTAATAAACAAAGGTGCAGATGTTTTAAGAGAAAAGGGTGCTGATGAACTTGAATTCTTTTCTATCAATGATTTCTCTTAAATGTTTAAATTACACTTTTACATCACAGTGTTGATTTTATATACAGTTTTTGTATTTAATTATTTTAAATGCTGTATTATTGCCGTGTAATTATTGTTTTATGACAATACAATGCAAAATCAATGATTGTGTTGACATCTTTTGTTTCAGTATTTGTTAACAATAAAATTTTCGTGGTCATATTGAAGGTAAAATAGTTTATTGTGAACTTTTAGCAAACTTGTACATTCATATGCATAATAATTTCATTTGCTTTCAATAAAACTGAACATATTTTATACTTTTAAAATATCCTGTATCCATCTGTATTGTTTTACCAGTCAGCAATTGCTGATCAAGTTGCTAAAAAAACTTCCTATCTCCACGTACAACATAGACTATTTATTAGTTCTAAGCACCCGGCAAGAAAGAACAAAACAGTTATATCTCAAAATAAAATGTTTTATTTCAGAAAATATCTCTTAATGATATCATGTAAAATATGTGTTTGCATGTTATGATGGCACATATTTAGGATCCATTTATGTTCACCATTACTTGGTCCAGTAACAATTTTCTGTTAAACTTTATGCTCGGTTTCTGGCAAAAGAAGTAATTGGCACTTAAGACATTATAAAACTAGTACGACAAAATGATGAAATTTATTACATCATTCTTCAAAATACCAAACCTTATGTTGTAAAGAATATGTTGCCATTTTAAATCCTAATATATTCAATATTTTTCGAACATAATGACATTCCAAGAATAGATGCTTCAGACTTTCAGGCTGCATGTTACACATTAGTTTGTACTCGACAATTTCATCTTGAATAGATATTTATTTGTTGAAATTAGTCTATTAAGATGCTTATACTGAAACGTCAATAGTAGATGTAAAAAATTGCTATATACTAAGTTTAATTATATTTCATTATTTTCCGAACATGTTCCCATCTCTTTTCCGATTTAATTTCTGACTTCTGGTTTTAATTCTCATTTGCTTCGTATATAATTATTTATTTGTTGTTTTACTTTCATTGATTTCGTTAACTTATGTTTTTAATAGAGTGCACATGTTTTTTTACCTTAAGATTTTTTTATGTTGGGATTTACACTTGTGATGTTTTGGTAGAATTTCAAAAATGCATTAATTCCTAAATCATATAATTATTTAGAAATGCTCAAATGAGTAAAAGTCTTTTTGTAGTAAAATGAAATGTTCTAAATATTTAATACATTTTTTCATTCCTTATGTTAGAAGTATTCCTTATTATTGTTTTTCCCCCAGTTGTTTCATTAGATAAATATTGGGTTTTATTATACACCTTCAAATGAAATGTTGTGAAATATTGACGGAAAAAATGCGTATTTTCATTTCCCATATTTTCATTGTAAAAAAATACATTTTTTACTGCAGTGAAACATATTTTCCGTATTTTTACTGGTGTCATATATACACAATGATATAATACAGTGTATTTGTTATTGTTACAATTAAATATATCTATTGAAATCTTTTAAAAATTCCCATAAATAAGAAAAAATCAGCCATATCAAGATTCAATACTGTCATGGTGTTCATATTGACCATCCACAGTCCTTTCCGCGGAAAGGTATCTTTTCGGATGTCTGGTCATATCGTATACCGGAGTATAAATACGGCAATTATCAAAGGCTTTGAAGGAAGTGACACTCACATACACACGTTTACAAGGCGCCAATTTTCAAAAAAAGGTTATCGTTTTAGCTGCATCTTTCTGTTTTCCAGTTGTTACTTTTTAACGACATTGTTCAATATGAAATCATTATGATTCATACCTTTCAGTACTAAGATAAGTATTACTGTCATAGTTGTCGGATAGCTGGTAATTTAACCAAAATATCATATCTCCATATAATTTTGCTAATATTGTTTGCTTGTAAGTTGTATTGTTTTTCAGTAATATCAAAACATATTTTAGAACCTAGATAGTGCACATTTAAGCGATGTTAGACTAGACTAGTCTAACAACCTAAACAGAAAAAGTTTTGGAACTTCATCAAGTCACTTTGGAAAGACAACTCCGGCATTTCTCCACTTAAAGGTAAGGGTCGACTCTACAACGCTGCACGCGACAAGGCCAACATCTTAAACAAGCAATACATGTCGGTTTTTACTCATGAAGCAGAAAGTGATACCCCAACACCAGCAGGAACACCTTTCCCAGATATGGACACCATACAGATCAATGAAGAGGGCATCTTGAAGTTGCTACTCAACATCAACCCAAGGAAGGCTTCAGGTCCTGATAACATCCCAGCACGCATACTAAGAGACTGTGCTTCTGATCTGGCCCCAATCCTCACTTTGACCTTTCAAACCTCCATGGAGGAAGGTAAGGTACCGTACCAGACGACTGGGATCCAAGCCAATGTCACAGCCATCTACAAGAAAGGCTCAAGGCAGGATTGTGCAAACTACCAACCGGTCTCCCTCACAAGCCTATGCTGCAAGCTGCTCGAGCATGTCATTGTCAGCCAGAATGAAACATCTGGAAAGACATAACATCCTACACGATTGCCAACATGGTTTCAGAGCAAAGAGGAGCAGAGCAAGGAGGAGCTGCGAAACTCAACATCACCCTTGCGCATGAGCTGGCAGAATCACTTGACAAGAGGATTCAGACAGACATGATCATATTG